AGTAAATAAATCAATAAATCCTCTGCTCTCTTGTCTCCTCTGAGGCTGGGACGCTAAAGTGTTCTGTGCTCGTCATTGCAGCCAAAGACAGAACAGTTAGCTGTTTTGCTCAAACTTTCGCCATGGCGTTAGAGCTAGTACACCGTTGTCGCTTGCGAAATCAAAATGACGGCGCCGTGGGTGGAAACTTACAGATGAAGGGGCAGTAATATTATAATGAGATCCCTTTGCAACGTCACTAGGGGAGCAAAATCAGATACGCTCGTTTTTTCAGACGCTTGCAGAAAAAGGCTTACCAAAACAAAGTTACTGGGTTAATCTTTTTCACGTTTCCTTGGTTGGTAGATGCACCGGAGACCTGATTATAGCACTTAAAACCTGGAAAAGTTCGATTTTCATGATATGTCATCCTTAAAACTTTGAAGTGCTGGGAAAAGTTGTGTGTAGCATTTAAAATCACTCGAAACATTAGATCATTTCTGCCACAAGTTGTTCCTGTAGTTTTACTATGTTAAATCCGTGGTGAATGGTGGTGATTTGTGTTTATTGAACAATGTTTTTCCTGGTTTCCACATCAGTGGCGTTTGTTCTGATATCTGTAGCTTTAACAGAATTCTGCGCCGAATTTGAATGCTTCTCGCAAGATTTCACAGAGATGTTATTGTTTCTGCGGCGAATTCGACTGCTTTCTTCACTGTATCTCCCAGCGCTGTGTATAACAGTGTCGCGTGATCGAGATCAGCCCGCGGCTCCGGCCCGAGGCTCTGTGCTGCGTAGCCCAAATGAGAAGCGCAGATTTGTTCCACTTTCGGTTTGTTTGTCCAATGTAGCTCTAAATCGGTCGTGATGAGAACGCATGGCTGTTCATTCCATTTTTTGAACTGAGAAACAACCTTTCTTTGACTGAATGCGCTTTGCGATGACGTCACGTCTAAGCCCAAAATCTGCGGAAAATCTGCGGCAATTCCGAAAATTTGCGAGCTCTTGTGGAGTTTGCTTGATTTTGCGATAAATTCAGCTATCGCAGAATTGCAAAATCCTGGAGGGACTGACTGTGTAAAATTGTAAACAGGTTAGCTAGGTCTCATGAATATTGATTGGCTTTCACCTTCTCATCAGGCTTTGCTTTGCCAATTGCATTAAGCAGGTAATTTTTTGCCCAACGAATAGCAGTGCACTTATTGATTCTCTCTGGGGGACATAAGGTCGCTTTCTTAATATGATCGGCTGAAAACAGTTATAAATTTAAAACTATTTGCACCTGGTGAAGCACAGATCTGTTATGAGATTTACCGAAGTTATGATAGAGACACTGCAGTGTTCAGGCAGGCTACAGTAAAGATGAATTGATATTGTGTAGGACATCTGATTAGGCCCTGGGAACGAGTGCGGTTTATCAGCCCAATGTTTATATGATGATTTATCTGCATGCCTCTTAATGTGGTGTTTAGACTTAGTCTGTATTGATTACTTTCTCAAGCAGTTCTCAAGAAGTCTGTATTTGATAGGATGTTTATAGGATGTATTTGCATACATGAATAACACCAATCTGTCTCTCTCCAGTGTCTGTGGGATTCGAGTATGAGTCCTGTTTGGATCTGATCTTGTGGGAGAAAAGAACAGCCATCCTCCAAGGTTACGAACTCGACGCCTCAAACATGGGAGGATGGACCCTAGACAAACACCACATTTTAGATGTTCAGAATGGTAAGCCCACCTCTGACTTCTCTAATGAATAACACAAAAATAATGCACTCCTACACTATAGTTTTAATATGCACAGCACCATAAGTCACATTGATCTTGGCAATCAGCTGAAATCATGTGTTTACCCACACACTCCTAAATATCAGCAAAAATCTATTAAAATACACTTGCGTTACCTCTCCTTCCCCATCTAAAAGCAGCCCATTATCTGCCTGTTAAAAGTTATTAACATGACATGGGTATAAAACCTTTAATAAGGAGTAAATGAGTGCTCATTAGTGTCATTGCTGTTAAATGACGTTGATGAAGTGGAGCTATAGCGGCACAGCGTTATTGTCTGTCATGCCAATGAAGAGACATTTGACATTTCCATGTGAGTGACCTTCACCCAGATGAAGCAGTCTGGAGTGCTCTCTGCAGCAAACATTTATGGCCACGTGTCATTGGGGAGAGACTGCCTTGATGAATTCTTAAGGAGTCTCTCATCGCTCATCTTGGCTTTAAAAGGGTGATCAGCAGAGGTTGTCCCCATGTACCTTGCTTAAAGGATTAACCTGTTTATCCTTGAGCCCTTTCATGGGGACATGATGAGCTGCTCTTAGATCAGTTTCCATAGCCTTCTAAATATAGTTCTCATCACCTTTCCAATGGTACATTTTTGTTGTGAGCTCCTTCTGCACTGCAAAAAGAGACTTATCTTGCTTAGTATTTTTATCCTTTTTCTAGTCAAAATATCTAAAAATACTTAAATTAAGATGCATTTACTAGTTGAGCAAAATGACACAAGTTATTTAGTCTTGTTTCCAGGTGAAAAAACTAAATTAAGTGCATTTTGCTTAAAACAAGAGTATTTTCTCACCCCACTGGCAGATAATTTTACTTTTTTTTAAGCAAAATGCACTTAATTTAGTTGCTTATCTAGTAAATGCATCTTAATTTAAGAATTTTTTTATATTTTGACTAGAAACAAGACAAAATACTAATACTAAGTACTAGAACTAAGTAAGATAAGTCTTCTTTTTTTTTTTGCAGTGTGAAACTGAAATGTCAACCGTTTTGCTACCATTTTGAAATGGCTAGTCATTCTTAAGGCAATTGTTTACCAAAAAATTAACATTACTTATCTTCATGTTGTTCCAGCCCAGTTCTTTCTTCCAGGAGATAATAGGATAAAGATGAACAGACCAACATTTGTTATTGACTAAAAATCTTCCCCTCCACTGCTCTTAAATATAACATGACACATGTTTGATCGATGACCTTTAGTTTATTTCAGAGCTTCAGCAGAGGGGAAGATTATCAATAAATAGTAGCTTAAATTTTGGTCTTATATAGGGCTGGGTTTTGACACAAATTTCACGATTCGATTCTCATTCACAAGCTTGCGATTCGATTCCATTACCAATTTGATTCCATTCAATATCGATTATTTTGGATATATATCAGGTACAGTACATACCAAATTTCTCAAGGAAAAAAAAATCTCTCAACTAATGCTGTAATATATACATGAGAGTCAGTTGGTACTACATTACTATAATATTGAAGGTTAAAATGGACTAATTTGTTAAAATTACACTTAATGAAGTTTTTTAAATAATAGTTACAATTACATAATAATATTTCTACATTGAAGAACAGGCTAGACCAGGGTTCCTCAATAGGCGGCCCGTGAGAGAAAAAAGTTTGGCCCGCGCTAATTTCAAATAATGTGGCATGAAAATTCAAACGCAGCATCAGAAAGCTACATTAACTTACACTGTGTCTACACCAGACGCGAGCGGCGCGACTCAATAAAATACAAGAACTCGTTATAATCAGTGATGCTGTCTTGGATGCGGCGCGACACGACAAATCCCCGACAGTCATGCTGACTCGTTCTATTTATAACGTACTGACACAACGTTCAAATGATTTGCAATGCTTTGTCGTGTCCAGTGTTGATATGATATGACAGCAAAACATGGCGAGTGTGTAGAAAAGTGAATGGACTGGACAGTTTTGAGTGAGCGAGTGAGTGACTGATATCTTTGTTATGGAATAGGCTACACGTGTTGGTTCGCAGTGAGTTCACAGTTTTAACGTACAAGTTTGCTTTAATTTATTTTCAAGATCTGAGGTAAAATATCTATTGTTGCTTTCACTATGGCTATAAAGATAATGCAAACTCACATTAGACACTTTTATCATTGAATAAAGCACATAATCATTACCTGAGATTATCACTGTTATATGTTGTATGTTGTCCCTGCCGCGACATCACAGAAAATAAAAAACGTTCCTAAAATAGAATCCCATGTCGCTTATTGTGACGTGTCACTGTCGCGGGTGGTTAGGACAAAAACTACAAGGAAAAGATACTTTTTATCGCGTCATGTCTGGTTGGGACACACGGTGTTACAGTTTGATCCCCCCCAAAAAAATCTAAACATAAAAATATTAATACTGACAAATCTAATAATTGAATCTGCAATTATTAATATCGAGATATCTATATTTTTTACCCAGCCCTAGTCTTATATGGTATTTCTTCACGTGTCCTGGAAAATATATATAAAGAGAGAGAGAGAGCACAGTCTTTTCACAGCATTATGTGAGATCTGACATAGAAAAAGAGCTGATTTTAGTCACTCACAAAAAAAGTAAGAGAAGCAAAAAATCTGTTCCTCTCTGGGACAGCAGCAGACAGTGATGGACAGCTGGGAGCTGATGAATCCATGCGGGCAGGCCGTAAATTACCCAATGAAGTGAGCCTCTGATGGAGGTATGTGAGCATGCCCAGTCCAACATAATGATTGTGGAAATGAACTCTCCGGAGCGAGACACAGAGGGCGTTGAGAAATTGTACTAGTCAGTTTAACTAAATCCGAGAGTGAGTGTAATATACATTATAGATACAGTATGTGTTTAACATAGATACAATCATTAATAAATCAACTTAAGGCATTGTTCTCCTCCATTTCTTCTGTCAGGGTTATCGGAAACTAAAACAAAAATGAAAACTGATGGATTAAAAACAGCGTAAACTGGAATGAACTGAAACAAACTAAACAAATAAAACTAAAAACAAAGGTTCAGAAGCTAACTGAGACAAAATAATCAACGAAAATAAATAATGATTTGAGCAGTCATCAAGCGCTCATCACATGTCAGAATAATCTGACCTGTCTGTCTGTGTGGGAGAACACATCCCACAGGCAATATGGCATGATGAGATGCCAGTAATATTTTCATACACTGACTCAAATTAATTTGCAGTGACTGGTAGGAAATGGCAAATAGTCTTTATTCTGTTAGAAACAATTAACTTTCAGAATCAGAAAGAGCTTTATTGCCAATTTGTCTTGGTGTTAGGAGCTTCCGGTACAGAAAATACAAACAAAGTGCAGACATACATAAAATGAGAGAATGGACAATAAATTATAAATAACAATAGTAATAAAAATATACAGAAAAAAGAAAAATGTCCATAGACAGAACTGTGAATGTGCATATGTGCTATTTACAGATGAAGGTTTAATGAGTTATTTACAGATGTGCAGTACTGAGGTGTGTTATGTGTTGTTCAGGTGCGATATGGCCTGGGGGAAAAAAACTGTTCCTGTGTCTGGCTGTTTTGGTGCACAGCGCTCTGTAGCGCCGGCCGGAGGGCAACAGTTCAAAGAGAGAGTGGGCTGGGTGTGAGGGGTCCAGAGTGATTTTTTTTAGCCCTTTTCCTCAATCTGGAGATGTAAAGTTCTTGGAGGTTGTGTAGAGGGGCACCAATAATCCTCTCAGCAGTCCTGACTGTCCGTTGTAGTCTTCTGATGTCTGTTTTGGTTGCTGAACCAAACCAAACAGTTATAGATGAACACAGGACAGACTCAGTGATGGCCGAGTATAACCGTTTCAGCAGTTCCTGTGGCAGGTTGAACTTCCTCAGCTGTCGGATCATGATGGTGAGTGCAGGGGGGTTCCTCCTGAAGTCCATCATCTCCAAAGTTTTGAGAGTGTTTAGCTCGTTTAGCTCCA